CCTTGTTATGTCAATGGAGTTCTCTCACATTTAACGTCAGCCTTATGACAGCTGATGAATTATCAGATATATGTTCCAGGCTTTTGTGACTGCCAAACTGTCTAGAGCTTAAGTGCATACTGCGCATTTATTAATATAAAGATGTGATATTATTTTAATGAAAAGTCTGCATACATTAATTATGTGTTGTGTTAAAAAGTCGGGATGGACGATAGTCTTAATCGGCTGATATTTAGCAGTGTTTACCTTTGCAAGGTCATTGGTGAAAAGTGTTACATTCACTGATTTTCTAATGTTGATGTCATAGCTAACATTCTCCCTAAAATTTGCCAGATGACTCCTTTGCTGTTTATGTTTCTATCAATGAATGGTAATGCTCACTTTATTAGTTTATCCTTGAACTAAAACAATAAAACGAATTATGAGTGTTGCATATTGTTACATACTGTCAATCAACAAGCTTACATTGGAGTAGAATATGCATGTCGTTAACATTATGAAGTTCGATGCATCATCATCCAACAAGGTTTATATATCCCAATGCCGTCCTCTCATTTCGATTTGGGTCATGCATCAATCACGGGAACTTCCGTCAGTTATATTTAGAATGCGTAAATGGTGGCAGATACTGAATATCTGCATAACATTATATGACAGGCGATTGAAGGTTTTCCAGATGAAAAACACAAAGAACAATCGGTAGTACATATCCCAACAATCGACTTAACGATCGACTCTGTTATGCCGGTTAGTCGAATATCTAAGACATTTTGTGTGATCATGTCTTGTACATTTTGTTAGAAAGTGACAGTATAATTGTTTCATTACCGTCTCACGAATTCCACTTTAGATACTTTGAATTTGTTATATTTCATGAGATTGTATCATGTCATACGTTCGACATTTTAAATTATAATGTGAGATGTAATTGTAAGTCTATAATTATCAAGATTCGTATGCTGAAAGCTTACATGGATATACGGACATAAAATCTGTTCCCTTATTGTTACGGGAATATCGTCTGTAGATGATCTCATATTCTCGCACCTCAGACAGAGATATCCTACGTTATACCCCATGCTAGATTTTTTTCTATCTCGTCCGATCTGTCTTGTACATTTACGTGACATTTCGCGGAATTTTTTCACTGCGATGTATTCATTCGTACGTTAACTGCTTGAAATTGACAATTTGCATTATAAATGTCATGTTTTGTCGTTATGTGTATATTTTTGATGTTGTTAGATATTTGATTTTGTAGAAAAAATATAATCTTCACTGTGAAATACGTTGTAATCTATGTAAGGACGGACTACATTTTTACGCGATAGCATTCAAATGTAGCGTTAGTAGTGAAGAGGTCAATATCATTTGAGGCCCAAGGCGGGATACTTGTAGTTTTTAGCAAAATTGAATAGTTCTTTTCGAACTAAAAGGTGCGAGAAAAAAATTATATCACCTGTAACTGAGCGAGATCGGGTTATCTCAGTCTCGGGCTAAGATTTTGTAACATTCCAACCTCCACTTAAGCCTCGGTTGGGATTTTGTTACAGAATCTTAACCCTCGACTGAGTTAACCCGATCTCGCTCAGTTACAGGTAAACGACTTTATTGTTGGTGTATATCATCCAATGAAATTTCAACGAAGGATTATGTTGTGAGCCTGTTAACTAACGATATCCGTGTTTAAATGCAAACGGATGTCTGTGTATATTTAGTATTTTTACAGGAAACACACGTTTATCCTCATAAAGATTGTTCATCATGTTGCGATAACATCATACCTGTCATGTATATTCCAATTAATCCTACCGTCTGAACTTTTATTGTCTCTAATGAGATTAAGACCGACATAACAATAGGGAGACCGGGACAAGTTCGGCGTCTTGTTCTTTTTTTGTTTGTTATCAAAGTCCGTTTTAGGAAGTTTGGCAGCACGTCCGTTTTTGAACATTATTTAACTTTTCCTTTCGGAAGATCGGATGGCCGAACGAGCCACGCCAAGGGTAAGTTTGGACAGGCATTCGGTTAATTTCGTTCTACATTGGAATCAGCTTCATTATGACGTCATTAAGCATGCACCGTCAGATGTGTTAACTACATGGGTCGACCTTGCCACGGTATTATTGGTCGAACCTGTTCGGGCTCAAATTGATATTTCAATAAATTCTTATCGTACAGCAATATGGTAGTGAGTGATTGGCATGGCTTTTATGTATTATCATTTGAAGCTGTCAGTGTGTTACACGTTTGACTGTAAAAAGGTAGCAATTCCGTTTCAAAAAGGTAGCATAACTAGAGCGAGATCATGGTAATTCTTTCTTCCCTCTCAAAAGTAATTTTCTCCTGTGAAGTCATTTCATATTGGAGTTTTCCTCGCCTTTTTTCTTTGCTGAATGCCCAGCCAACTAAACTGCTAAGATCCTTAAAACTGTAAATATTAGCTCAAAAACATTTTTCATAACATTGATGATTGGTAAAAATGTATTCACAATCAAAAAAATCTTCCAGTCAAATCTAGGAGTATCTTTCTAGATTTTTGTTCTTGTGCGTAACGTATACGATGGACCGAGTGACGGAGTGGATAGCGCGCTCGTCTTCACCAAGATGGCGGATTCTATTCCGGTCACCTGCCCGACTACACGGTTTTTGTTCAGATACTATAGCTTCCTCCCATATTAAGAATGTAACCCTCTGCGTGCTTCCGTCAGGGCACAAAAAGAATGATTGAGATAAGCTGGGGAAAAACTGTTTGGTAATTGCTATAGCAAAAAGTACATATTACATATTTGACGATTAGTCTAAGTAAATGTATAGAGATATGTTAGTTAAAAAAATGAAATTAAAAAAAGAAAACATTGTAATACTTTGATGTAACTAAAATTGTCGATATGTAGTCTCAATTACTGTTCCATCCTGAAACACCGGATTGAATTTCAAATTTCGTAACTGTCACCGAGGTTACAGTTCAGACTGTCTGTTAATAGTTATAAATCGACACGCGTTGTGAAAAAGTAAAACGTTGCTGAAAAAGGGCGTTGCACTTGGGTTAGTTGTCTGGAAAAGTATTGTTAATTTCATCATAAATTCATTTTCCATTGCTTCTTTTATGAGTGGTGATGCATAAATAATGCAAACACTATATCCAGACTTTCAAATATGTTAATTATTTCGTTCATATTCTCAACAAATGGAAATCAAAAACTGATGAAATTTTAAATTATCTCTTTTTGAAGATATCTCCCTGTAGAAATATCAACAGAATCGGGTTGAAGACAAAAAAGATCTTCAGAAAATATCCGCATTTTTACTTTTTGTGCATGTGGAAAAAAAATGAAATAAAAAAAGTCTTGAAGCACCGACAAAGATATAAATGCAACGGACATCAGTTCCAGCATTTTCAGGTTATTTTTTATCCTTCCGGAAATAACCGATGAAGGCCGATGGATTGGTGCCTGCTTGTGACGTCATAGTATGATAATCACTGAACGAAGTTTCATGCCTGTTAGTATCATATTTTATGTGATAGAATTTTTTCACTCAGAATGTATATTAATTTTTATATAAATAAACAAGTAATAAAACATGAAGATTGTTTTCACTATATGAAGATATTCATGTATGGGTTGAAACACAATTGTCTTTGCTTCAAGGATACACTTCCTGTTTCCCCGCTAGACGTCTAATTTCGGACGAACGAAATATTTAAGGCAACGTGTAGCAACGGGAAGCAACTCTGTTTACGCGCGCATGTGTTACCATTAGAGTGCTTCGCTTAGGCACTTTCGGCGCCCTAGAACTACGCTCTTATTAGTGGTCAATACGGACTTTTAGAAAAATTGCTATTAGGAGCAAATGTGCTAAGAGTAATTAGGAGAAATGTACTAAGAGCAAATAGGAGTCTACAAGGAACAAATGTACTAGGATTAATTAGGAATAGTCTACTAAGAACAACTAGTTTTTGAAGAGAATCAATAAAGAAGGAAATAGGGAAGCTGATATTTAAAAAAAAATCTTTAAAAGATGCCACCTAATATTTCATATTCAACATTGTGCTCATTTGTTTAAAAACATTTTTTTTATTAGTCAAAGGGATACAACTCATATCAACATATAGACACTTGTACAGGTGACCTCCTGGCCAGCTGCGGAGAGTTTTATTTTGTATTGTATTTCTTGTCACTTGAATTCTAATTGTGTACAAACAATTTTCCACTTAAACTTGTATTACTTAATTGAGTCATTCGTGAAGGGTTTGCTTCAAGCAAACAACCAGAGAAGTCTGATATATATATATAACACACTGCATCGTCAGGCAATATACTCGGCCTGACGGCAGTGTAAAAGTCCCGAGTACCTGGCGTTGGCATTGTAACTCTTTTGAAGTTTTAATTACGATCAACGCATGTTCTAGTCTACTGTAGCAGGTTTGGGTTTAATCAAACAAATAAAGATTTTTTTCCAAAGTTAAAATGCCTCTGTTAAATGTGTCCAAAGCAAGAGTTTAAAAATGTGTAATTTTTGCACTCTTAGTTATTGTTATTGAACTCACCGTGTTTAGCAGTTGTAAGTAAACATTTTCAGATTTTCAGAATTATAACAAGAATATGCAACATATTATAATATTGTACAATATCGGACATATTTTTTTCACTATTATAGTTTAGCCCCTTTGATTTTTGATTCTGCAATAGGTATTGTCTGGTGAAAGCTGAGCTTTTTAGTTGTACGAGGCCCCGCTTGTATAAAAAATCGCAACTTGAGATTTCTTTAAGTGAAGATTTTCTTAGCTGAGATTATACAAAGCCTTCCATTATGTGTGTTATTCGCTACCTGGCAATATCATAGTCAGATACACAATTGTCTTACTTTAAGATACATATTCTATCATTGTTTACGTACACATAGACTTTGCATTGAGTGATAGAAAGTCATTTTACTACCATAAAGTACAATCCTGACTAACACACAAAATAAAATACGTATGAATAAGAATTGGAATTTATTTACAAAATATTATGAATATGAAGTAACAATTTAATGTATACATAAAACGTTTAAATACACTTTTACAAATAGACATACATGAAATTGTTAAAACGGATTTTCCACTAAATCTTTGACCACATCGATCTGAAAAGACAAACGAGTAAGGACTCTGTAATCACGTTATATATGCCATTCCTCCTTGTCTTGTTCCTTAAATCTAAAGATATATGTTATGAGATAAACTACTGGTCGTTAGGAAGAAGCAAAGAACATTTTGTTTATCCCATGATCAGCAGAGAAAGATTCTCATATATTGATTTTACCTATTGCCAATAATGAGTAGGGTGTCCCTGCAAAGGTCACATTATAAAGATGTATATGAGTGAGGGTTTTTAATTGTAAGAAGTCACTTTAAATACTGCTCTGTGATGGGTTATTTTACATTGAAAAAATGGCGCTTTTACAAAAGCAAGAGTATCGATCGTGTTGTCATTATAATTCGATATATTCACTACCTAACACAATGGATAAGTTTTGTTTGAACTGATACTACAATATTCTATCAATTTTGTCGTAAATACATCAACCAGACAACACTTATTGCAAAAGGGAAATAACTTATATATCAACACAGCCATGTATATGTATGCATTTAATATTTATGATAGCATATTAAGTAAATATTAAATAGAGGATAACTATGCGTAAAATATCGGAAGTAATACCTTTCAGCATCATTCTTTGTCTCTGCATCAGTATCTTCGGTCGTATCCCCATCTGTTTCCTATCCTGTCACCAGACCACCTGTCTCCCCAAATGTCGCTTCCACGTCGGGACCAGTCGTTTCCATACATATCACTGTTCCAAGGATCGTTTCCCCAACGGTCAAAGTTTGAACCCCACGTATTTCTACTGAGTCCGTCAAACAACGAGGAATCACGCCTTACTCCGTAGGATCCTGTAAGTATAACCATTTTAATGCAGTTCGTAACAGTAAGAGGCACAATGTGTTTATCTTTGCATAAGCGTTGTTGTTTAATATTACTTAGATACTTATTTCATAAGAGAACACTTCCAGACTCTAATGCAGATATAATGTAGTCTATGCATACATTAATTATCTTCCGAATTAATTATTTTCAAAAATCAGACACATGCATCATTACAGACTGATACTTGTATGACCAAGTCTTTATGAGGATGAAATAATAGTATATAATGACGAACACATAACACTTCGTGATGCAATTTGTGTGTAAATATGTTATACTGTCTTCATATGACGCCGCTTATTGCAATGACGATACATCCTGATAAAAATGTGTATATTGAGAGAAAGATATTTACAGATAAATATAAGTAAAATACTTACGGCACAAGACACAGGCAACTAGACACGACAGCACGATAAGTTTCAACATCTTCAGTTGATTGATTCTGTAATCGGAATTGTTACACTTAATACTCAAATGTATTTAGCATATGAAATACTCTTTGAGTATTTCATGAAATATTTGCAATAATATAATCCCTGACTTACTCAATACAGTAATAACAAGGTAGACTAAAATATCATATTGTGTCAACTTTCCATTACTAGCTTCAGCTATGTGAACACACATATAGATAATTCCTAGACTCACCTATGTCCACCACTAAGGGTCACACTTGTTCAGTCTTTGTCAGGACAAATAGTGTTTGAGAACAAAACATAAACACTCACTTTTATACACAATATTACGAGGAACTACTTTTTTTTATTGTTGTTCATATTGTTTCCTCAAACATTTTCACGAGAGTGCATACAAAGAACAACGCATGCTATTAATAGCTAATGGAGGTTTCCTTTTCCACCAATGACGTACATGTCGATGTTAAGACGACGTTTGGAGAGCAGGAGTTTTTGAGGAAGACATATATAAGTATGGGCATACATTTTATTAATTACCTTAACAACGCAATTCTTAATTATGATTAATCGATGTTTTTCCTGATAAATACAGACAAGTATGAATATTAAATATATATACACATCCGTATCTGTTCTTTGTTCTATGATACAATAGCTTATTTGCAGCATATAACCACTAATACAGAAACAAAAGAGGGGATCTTTCTGAAGTAAGGTCCCTCTTAAAAAGATATACTATATGATTCGATAATAAAGATGACATTTATTTAACAATGAATGGAATATATTCTCATATTCGTGAATTGTACATGTTAGAGTTGTTTTGAAATGTTTGGAAAATACAAAAAAGTATTAAATATAGTACAAACCAATCGATGTTATAAAGGATGATTCAATGAATTGGTTATACTGAGACATTATCCTTTGTTTAACTAGCGATATTAAATGACAAGGGACTCATAAAGCAGTGTAAATTGGGAGAATGAATGTGTGATACGTCAGACAGATAAATATACAATAGATGTTTCTAATCATTAGGTATCAAAATAATAAAGTTTTGTTCCGTTGCGGTAATGATGTCATATATATAAATTGACATTTAACGAGTCTAACATGTCAGTAGTGATAAGGCCACGTACATTTTGTATCATGCATAGTTGATATTTATTTAAAGTTTATCCCACACACTATTCAAAATATGGATTGAGGTTTCGCTTGTCATATACATGTACGTAAGTAACAACACCACAGTTTATTATCATATAAATAGCTCTTGATATACATACGGATAATAACCATATATATTTACTATGACGTCACAGATGTAAGCCTGAGGTAATGGTCACCTTACTGCCTCGAGCTACATTGTATTACATATGTAACTTAGACTGTATAACATATGTAACTTAAACTGTATAACATATCTAACTTAGACTGTATAATATATGTTACTAATACTGTATAACATATATAACTTATACTGTATAACATATCTAACTGAGACTGTATAACATATGAAACTTAGACTGTAAACATATGGAACTTTGACTGTATAAAATATGTAACTTAGACTGTATAACCTATGTAACTTATACTGTATAACATATCCACATTATACTGTATAACATATGAAACTTAAACTGTATAACATATGTATCTTAAACTGTATAACATATGTACCTTATACTGTATAACATATTTAACTTATACTGTATAACATATCTAACTTAGACTGTATAATATATGTTACTAATACTGTATAACATATGTAAGTTATTCTGTATAACATATGTAAGTTATTCTGTATAACATATGTAACTAAGACTGTATAACATATGAAACTTAGACTGTAAACATATGTAACGGATACTGTATAACATATGGAACTTAGACTGTATAACATATTTAACTTATACTGTATAACATATGGAACTTAGACTGTATAACCTATGTAACTTAAACTGCATAACATATGTAACTTAGACTGTATAACCTATGTAACTTATACTGTACAGCATATGTAACTTATACTTTATAACATATGTTACTTAGACTGTATAACATATTTAACTTAGACTGTATAATATATGTTACTAATACTGTATAACATATGTAACTTAGACTGTATAACATATGTAACTGATACTGTATAACATATGTAACTTAGACTGTAAACATATGTAACTTTGACTGTATAACATATGTAACCTATACTGTATAACATATGTAACTTAGACTGTATAACATATGTAACTTATAGTGTATAACATATGTAACTTATACTGTATAACATATGTAACTTAGACTGTATAACATATGTTACTGATACTGTATAACATATGAAACTTAGACTGTAAACATATGTAACTTGGACTGTATAACTTATGTATAACATATTAATATGATAAGAAGACATTTTATTGGATCTTCAATACACAATAACAACACATATGATACTTCTGTGTCCAAGAGCAATTCATACTGCTGACCTCAACCACAAAGACATATATATGATAGCAATCAATTATCTGTAAGGTGAGGTGTTCCAGAACAGCTACGCTAGGGCATGTAATGGTTAAGCTATTTATAACCAGTATAATTTGTTACGATTTGTCATGAATAAAAAAGGTGAAATGACGAGTGGGATCCTGACAAAAGGAAACGTACCAGACATGCTTTGAATGTGGACCATGACCTCCTGAAATTCCTTACTAGCTAGACCAAAACCACATTAATTTACAATATGTTTGATTGTAACATTAACGTAGTTAACTGTTTGGAAGTAATGAAATATTATTTTAACCCTATTTATCAATAGAATAATACATAGAGAAAAGGGCACTACATTAATCAGATTGTCAAAATGGGTAATTTTAAAGAAACATTTCATTGATAAAAACTTTTCTGTTTTCACAGTTCTACTTTATTTATTCTTTTTGACAATATAAAATATTCAACAAACCCAAAATTTTTAATACCCAAAAAACCCCAAACCATATTTATTGCTAACATTTTTCGTCTCAACAAATATATTCCAATTTATTACATTTACCCAATATTTTAAACTACAGTTAATTGACATTGAAATCAATGACTTAAATTACGGTCAATGTTTTCAAAGAGGAAGGATGGAAACCAACAATGGAAGGCGGTGTTAGTCATCACGGTTTTCTGTTGTGTAATGTTAAATTGAGTGGATCAAACAGACGTTTAAGAAAAAAATACAACAAACAAACAAAAACAAGGTATTTAAACATTACAATTTCTCCCTTATTAAGCTTTTCCTCAGTGAGCTTATACACTGTTTATTACAGCGAGTTTAAATATAAGTTTTATTCTCGCTAGATATTTTCGTATTAAATCCTTTATTTGCGAGTACTTCTAAGAGATGAAAAAAAGGAAATGAAATCATTATTTCGTATTCCAATGTTTGAGCAGTATATTTAAATGAACGAGGGAATATTTTCGACACATTAATGATTTAAACCAATCTTCAGGTATGGATTTTTTAACATTATTATTATTTCAAACGGTAAAAATGAAAATTCTATACAATAAACCTTTAAAATTCATTAGAATAACAATAGGACTATAAGACTAAAGCGTCGGGTTTTACCAAATTTGAAAACTCTTCGGGTGGAATTTCCCTATCCTACACCCTTGGGGATGAAAGAGGATTTTTCTCTCATTCCAACCACCAGAATAGCCCATATTTTCAAACAATGTTTGCGCAGAAAAAAATTATCACATCTTTCTAATGTGTACGGCAAATATGTCATAAAAGGTTTTAATTTCATTGCGTCGCCTTTTCCGCATTGCGGCATTAGAAAGTTCCAAATTCGTGACTTCACGTCATTGTTGAGCCATTGTGAGGTCACGTCACGTGAAATGGGGTGTAAAATAGCAATTTCCTACACCCCTTTCTTACCCTGGACAGCTCTATCTTACACACGGAGAAATGAGAGAAATATATTTGATCTGTATCAGAAAAAACTGTCATTTATCACAATTATGACTGACGTCATTACAATAAAGTATGTTAATAAATATAAGGTATGCTTACACTTGATATATATCATCGTCACTGTCCCCTACTCTCCAAAGGTCATCCTGTCATTGACAAGTACGTCAATGGTTAAAAAGGGAAACTCCGTCAGATATTAATAGAATGCGTTGTTCTGTGTACCCACGCAATAAATGCGAGGATGCGACAATAATTGAGGAAATACAATGTACAACAATTACAAAGTATTTCCTCGTCATATTTTATATAAAAGTGGTCATACTTGGTCCTCCATCACAACCTGCCCTGACACAGACTGACGAAGTGTAACCTTTAGTAGTGACCAAAGGTACGTCTCGGAATGAACGATATGTGTATTCACCTAGTGGTAGTTGGTAATTCTATAATAACACAGTTTCATGTCTCATTCTACCATGTCATTGAGATATATTGAATGGGTCTGGAATATACTACAGTGTATTTGAAAATATATATAGGATAGCGAGCATTTGAATTTTATATATTATTAAATTTGTATTAAAACTCTGTTTACAGAATCAATCAACTGAAGATGTTGAAGCTTATCGTGCTGTCGTGTCTAGCTGTCTGTGTCTTGTGCCGTAAGTATTATAAGTATATTTATCTATGAATATCTTTATCTTAATATGCAAATCTTATTTGGAAATTACGTCGTTTCACACAAAAGTTGTATCACCAAATGTTTGATGTGTAGTATAAAGTCTGTCCTTTATTTTATATCGTATCATTATTAAAAAGACCTGGCTATCCATTTATATACGCATATTGATACATTTTTTTGATTTGTAAAACGATTTATTCGAAATTTGTTAGAATTTATTCTGACATAATATATATAATGTTGCATCGGAGATAATAAATGTAGGATTGTATACATAGACTATCCGCATAAGAGCCAGAATGATTTATTAAAAGAAATAATTATCAATATAACACGAAACAACACAACTAAAGCAATATTTGTAAACTATATATCTACATATGTACCTGCATTAGTGAAGAAATTAAATCAATTACAGGGTCCTACGGCGGAGTAAGGCGTGATTCCTCGTTGTTTGATGGAATCGGTAGAAACAGGTGGGATACAGGCCTTGAGCGTTGGGGAAACGATCCTTGGAACGGTGATATCTATGGAAGCGACAGGTACGGACGAGGAAGCGACATGTGGAGAAACAGGCGGGATCGTGACATTATAAGAAGCAACAGATGGGGAAACGAGAGGATATACTGATGACGAAATGATCAAATATAGAATTAGGTACGTATTTGAATATTTTA